ACCCCTTCTGAGAGTCTAAAAAGTGTAATTTTTGAGACTTGAAAAGAAATAAAAATTAATAAAATATTTAGAAGTCACGGAAATATAGTTATTTCTAGTTATTCTCATCTCTAAAATATTTAAATTATTTGAAATGTATTAAATTTATCAAAAAAAGTAAAAAAAAAAAAAATTGTTAATAAATTATTGGCCAAAAAGGGCAAGAACGCTGATATTATATTGCATTAATAAATCGAGTACACTGGATTTGTTTGAAATTTATTTCAATTTCCCATAAAACACCTTCTGAGAGTCTAAAAAGTGTAATTTTTGAGACTTGAAAAGAAATAAAAATTAATAAAATATTTAGAAGTCACGGAAATATAGTTATTTCTAGTTATTCTCATCTCTAAAATATCGAAATGGCTTAAAATGTATTACATTTATCAAAAATAAATTTAAATAAATTTATTTTTAATAAATACTTGGTCAAAAGGTGCAGGAATGCTGATATTATAGTGTGTGCGTAAATTTGAGAGTATTACATTTAAATTTTTCAGGCTGGAAAAATAATTAAAAAATAGTAAAAAATATTTAGAAGCAACAGAAATATAGTGAATATGATTTTTCCCTAGTTATTCTTCCCTCTAAAAACTGAAATTGTTAATCTATTTTTTTTTTATTATTATTTAAATGTAATTATTAAATGAATAATTGGTCATAAAGTGCAGGAATGCTGATATTATAGTGCGTTTATATAAATCTAGTACACTGGATGTCTGTTTACAATTTCAATTACCAATAAAACATCCTCGAAGAGTCTAAAATTTGCAATTTTTGGGACTGGAAAAATAATTTAAAAATTAATAAATATTTAGAAGTCATATAAATATAGTTATTTCTAGTTATTCTCACCTCTAAAATATTTAAATGATTTGAAATGTATTAAATTTATCAAAAAAGTAAAAAAAAAAATATATATATATATAATTCTTTTTTAATAAATTATTGGCCAAAAAGTGCAAGAACGCTGAATTTTTAGTGCATGAATAAATCGAGTACACTGGATTTGTTTGAAATTTATTTCAACTAACAGCTTCTGAGAGTCTAAAATTGTCATTTTTGAGACTTGAAAAGAAATAAAAATCTGCAAAAAATTTACAAGTCACAAAAATATAGTAATTTCTAATTATTCTCACCTCCAAAATGCTGAAATTGTTAAAAATGTACTACATTTATCAAAAATAAATTGTAATGAATATTATAGTGTGTGCATAAATCTGGTACACTGCATGTCTGTCTAAATCAGCGATGCATTAAACATCTTTGAGGAACGCTTTGCAGTAAATGCATGGCAGAATGCAGAAGTGAAGGGCTGTAAATGCAAATGTCCGAGCACTAATGTGAGATAATCCAGTGAAGTACGCTGCGTTACGAGCGTCTGAGACATTAGAGGCACATCTGCAGCACGAGCTGGAGGATTTGAATACGAATGCAGCCCGTGGAGTCAGATCAAAGGTGCGCCGCAGGACAGGCCGCTCGCAACGCTCTCGCTGGAAGCTCAAAGTGACATGCTGGAGACAGAGGAGCTGTCAGAGATGCCTGTCTGCACACGGACCAGACGCTCAGCTCACTGACTATATGAGGGCAAGAAAACTACATTTAACAGAAGAACCCACCATAAACACACACACTCACACACACACACACACACACACACACTCTCTCATGCAGTCTATACAAGCAATCCAGATGAATGCACAACTGAACTAAGAACTAAAATCATCTGCACATGATCAGCCATTATGACACATTTCACATATTTGGGCTGCAAATTGATAGGATTGTTTGTTAGGATAGGACAATATTTGGCTGAGATACAACTATTTGAAAATCTGGAATCTGAGGGTGCAGCCATACAATGTATTGTTGGCTATTGCTACAGATATTTTTCCACATGAAAATAATACTGATAACAGAAGTCATTAAAAATAATAAACATAAACATTGAAAGAGCACCTCATTAAAAGTTGTTTAGTTAGACGTAGATGTTAATTAGTGCTTAGCACGAATTTTTAGTGCAAATAGTTTGCAAACAAACTGCAAATGCTGTTTTATTTGGTGTTGCATTTTTATGAAAAATTATTTGAGCATTACAAATATTTACGTACTAAAAATGTCACAAAAAGTGACATTTTAGACTGTGTTTTGTAGGAAATTGCAGCAGATTTCAACCAGCATATTATTATTCATCATTCAGTTTTATTATAATGATCTAAACGGATAAATGAATAACGCACTAAAATGTCACAAAAATTATGTTTGCACAAATATTTTATTAAAAAATATTTATTGAAATTGGAAGTTTAGTTTTGACTAAATTACGGGGAAGTGCAGAAGACTTCAACCAACATCTTGATTGATATTATTATTATTCATCATTCAGTTTTATTATAAATGATCTAAACATATAAATGAATCACACACTAAAATGTCAAAAAAAAAAAATTATTAAAAAATATGTAGTGAAAATCATTTAGAGATTAGTTCAGGAAACTGATTTCAACATTTTAACTGATCTTATCATTATTAATCGTTCAGTTTTATCATCTGAAATGGTCTGAATGTATAAATAAATCAAGCACTAAAATGTCACATAAAAATTTTGATTGCACAAATATTTTACTAAATTGCAGAAAACTGCAGCAAATTTCAAGCAACATATTAATAGATATTGTTTATCGAAGTGTGTGTGTCCACCCACAGGCCCGGGCCTTCGTCTGCTCGCTCGTCACTCCCGTCTGCCTCGACAGGTACGTGCGCAGAGCACCGAGACCAGGGACTGGAGAGATCTGAGAGTTTTTGGTCTAAGCTCAGTGTGGTTGCATCCGCAGGTTCATCCAGCCGTGTCGGAGCGTGTGTATGGCCGTGAAGGAGAGCTGCGCTCCCGTGTTGGCCTGTCACGGACACGCCTGGCCCGAGGCCCTGAACTGCAACCGGTTCCCCGCGCAGGACGACACGTGTCTGACGCCGCTGCCAAAACACATCAGCGCCTTCTCCAAACGTGAGACACTCATTCACATGCATGGACAGACAGACAGACAGAATAAAATAAAATAGAAAATTAAATTACATTATTTATTTATTTCATTCTAAAATAATAGATACTGATACCAAATGCTGTTGACATTTTCTAGAACATAAACAATATTAATTTACTAAATATCATGTCATGAAAAATAATGTTTGTTGCATAAAACATTTATTTAGAAATTTAGAGAAAAGCTTTGACTAAATTGCAGGAAATTGTGGTGAATTTTTACCCAACATCTTGATTGATATTAGATACATTTTAAATGTATTAAATTATGAATGCACTAAAAATAATGTTTGTCGACAAAATATATGGCGACATTTAAAGAGTAGTTTTGACTAAATTGCCGGAAATTTAAAACATCCTGATTGATATTATTATTATTATTATTACACAGATAGATAGATAACGTAAAATTATAAAATTATAAAATGTTATTTTCAAATAATTTTCTCCATATAAAAATGATAGATACTGATGACAGGAACCATTAAAATTATTTAAAAATATCTCAAATAAAATGTAATTTTTAAATGGTTCTCTACATAAAAATGTGAGATACTGATAACAGAAACAATTAAAAACTATTTAAAAAAATCTATTAAATATAAGAGCTCAGAGCCGTTTGTTTATATGCCAGGAAACGTTATAAAAATTCTAGTTAGCTGCAGATGTTAATGATTAGTACAAATAACGGGTGCAAATACTTTTTAAAGGCGGTTTTATTTTTCTGAAATTATTTGAACATTAAAAAAAAATAAAAATAATATTTGCACATTTTTTTTTTTTTGTAGCAGATTAAAATTTAGAGAGCAGTTTTGGCTAAATTGCAGCAAATTTTAACCCACATATTGATGAATGTCATTAAATATAGATAAATGAATGCACTGGAAGTCTCTTTGAATAAAAGCGTCCGCCAATGCAAACATGTGCATTGATTTAACCATATATATATATATTGTGGTGTTGACAGAATTCCCTCAGCCTGTGTGCCAAAGCTGCCCGTCTGTGGAGGAGGCGCCGTCTCTCAGAACCGTGCTGGACGCCCTGTGCCTCACCGACTTCGGTAAGCGATTCTTATTGCCTATATACATCGGTTCGGCTGGTTTTGAGGAAGCTTAAAGTCTTGTGATGTGGTTTGGGGACTCTTTAACTCACCGTCTTTTCTCCCCACAGCTGTGAAAGTCAAGATCTCTCGGCGCCGCCTGCTGTCCTCTGAGCCGGAGCTGACGGTGGAAGGCCCGGTGGAGTTCATCCAGCGCGGCCCGCTGCTCCCGTACGACACGGCCAGTCTGATCCAGCGCTGGCTGCTCATCAACCTCAGGTGCGCGCTCTCGCTGGTCCGGCCCGGCCGCGCGCAGCTCTACCTCATCACGGGCACCATGCGCGCGAGCGGCTCCATACAGCTCTCCAGTCTGTTCCCGTGGCTCAAGAAAGACCTGCACATCGCGGTGGCCGCACACAAATGGAAGCACCACAAATGCTGAACTAATTTAGCAGGCGTACATCGTGGAGACGTCTGCTGGACGTCTGCATTACATCTGCAAGACGTATTTTTTAGAGTGTTTGCTCATCTGCAATATGTCTACAGGAGATGTCAAATAGATGGCTTTAAGATGTTTATGATTGAAATCTGACATCTTAGAGACGTCTGTCAGATGTTTGTACACAGCAGATGCTTTCCAGATCTTTCGATCTTTAACAGACATCTTGCAGACGTGATGCAGTTTGGTGATTTAGAATTAAATCATTTCAAAGCAATTGAAGTCACCGAAAATCTGAGCTTTGCTAGATTGAGTTATGCATTTCTGAATTTGGCCGTCTGGAGCGAGTTGAAGCAGTCACATGTTGTTTTAAAACGTTTACAGCATGGTCGGAAATTAACGGGGGCTTGTGGCAAAAATGCCACCAAACTGAACAAAAATTCCCCACAAATTCAAGATAAAGGGGCAAAAATTGCCCCTGCACAATTAAACAATGCTACAGCTGTCACGATTAAAATTAAATGTGCAAATAGGGTATATGTCGAACATCACCTGACCAAACCCGGAAAACAGGTCTCATTGCTTCCACTTGTCGGAGAACGTGTTAACAGCCGTATTAAATAATAGCGATATCTATGGACTTTTAAGATAATCAGTTAAACTAGCTAGCTGTTTTTATTGTTGACGTTTTATTAAATTTTTATATCTAAATGTGAAAAGAATAAAAATAAAAAAAACTTTTAGATATCAGTCCGCATATGTGATGGACATTGGTTATGATCATCATTGGTATCTACTTTGAAGGCATCTTGAGTAAAACTGCTTCATATTTAACTAAGCATATGCAAAACGCTTGAACCGGAAGCGACGAGACCCGGTTAACAGAATACGGAAGTCTGTTGCGCATAACCCCTATTAATGAAAAATGTCTATTCGTGCATTACATTTTGATCCGCTCACACTGCATCAGATTGCTTTTTACGCTTTTTCTTTTTTCTTTTGCAGTGTTGAGCTTTATAACCAATCACACGCGTTTCCGTTGAGCTTAGGAATGCAATGTCCAATCAGAGATGCTTAGATTAGTCAGCGCTGAAGACTCCGGAGTTGCTGTTGATTATATCCGCTCACTGAATTCCCACATCATATACGATGTAGATAAAAGATTAATTTCATAGCATCAGTTATTATAATGGGAGTTTTTGCTTAACTTGTGCTCGACTAGTCTAACGTCATGGATCGACGTGTTTGTCTCTGAAGCCAGAGCCAGAATATATGACGAGCCGTTTCGCAGACACAAAGCACAACAAAGTTTTTATATGTATTCTATTAATCAGTATTAATAATCATTATTACAATATCATGCGCAATAATCGATAATAACGATTTTTGTCATTGCCATATTGGCTTCTGTTTTTAAACGTATAATTAAGATACAATTTCAAACAGTCAGTTGCTATTGGCAACAGTTTAAAGTATGTTGACTGATTGAAGTAATTGGTTAAATCCAAGTATTTGACATTAAAGACAACACAGATACGATTATTAAGGTGGTGATAAAAAATGCCCTCACGAATGTACAAAATCAGTTCATTTCTGACCCTGGTTTACAGAACACTTCTGTTTACAGATAAATATTGCATTATTAATGTCTTAAATTTAATTCCTCCAGTACAGGGAAAGACCTGAGAAAGACAGAAAGGCCTGATAATGTCTAAAGGTTTGCACACATAATTGCTAAAAGTCCTGTTGGTTGATAGTAAAATGTAACCTATTTGTTTCTACCAGCTAAACTAGTCAAGGGTTCAATTCCCAAATAAAAACTTCATAGCTTGAATTTACAGTAAAAAAGTATGTAAGCACGTCTGCTAAAGGCATAAATCGAAATCAGTTGAATCTTTGTTGCTTTCAGTGAAAATGTGTGTTAATTACAAATCAATTTATATTTAAAAATCTAATTAATTTATATTATCCCCCAGCTCTGTATATCATACTAAGTGTATATATACATTTATATAAAGTTGGTTTTATAAGTATGTACAATTTTATCTGCATACATAGAGTATACTGTAATTAAAATTGAAATTAAAACTAATGTACATTATTGGCCAGATCTTTATATGGATATTTAAGTTGGATATATAAGTATATCAAGCTTTATTTGCATGCATACTGTACAGTCATGTGGAGTGATATACTGT